TTAGCTTATTGCTGCCAACATATTGCACTTTTACGGTAGTTTTTAAATGAATGTCAATAGTTCCTTTTAGAAAGGCTAATTTTTGAATTTCAACCTTGAAACTTTGCATACATAGACAGCTAAGAACCTGAACTCTTTTCGGGATATTCAAAACTCATTTGGATCTAGATGATGCACATTGTTTGAATTGCGAGACGATTAATAAGTTGGAGAATTATCCTCGTGAATATAGGAAAAGTAACAAGGTGACTTAACTTGTAACTTTAGCCTCGGCAGTTCTATTGTAGTTTGTAGAAAATACTCTGCTCATACGTATTAGAGAAAAAGTAAAACGAAGATTAACCTTAACAAGGACACAAGAAAACGAAATGCTCTATTGCTATCTCCATTTGGAGGACATAATTAAGCAGAAAAAAAACACAATATAATATAAAACAAATACGTATCGGAAGAAGGACTTTTACTCTTTGGTAAAAGTAATTAAAAAAAGGAGCTATATTTTCTATTATGTTATCAATTACACAATTTGTGTACCAATTATTTGCCGTAGTTTGTACAAAAGAAAACATAATACTATAGTTTTCCAAAATTTTCCATTACTCATGTGAGTGCATACGAGTAATTCTATACATCTGAATTCATCAAATATATCTTATATAGTAATCTTGATCGAGAATATAAAAGTCTCAATTTGATAGTTTACAAGAAAAGTCTAATAGATAAATGAAGAAAAAAAAACTAAATTGAAATAGTCATAGGTTGTGAAAAATGACTACAGATTTTGAATACATAATTCAGATGATATTTATTTTTGGGTGTGGGTGTGAGGTGTGCCTGTGAGCCTTGTTGTCATTCAAATCCACCACTCACCTACCCACACCAACACCTCAGGTCGTTACTGAGTCCGTGATTATTCAAAAGAGCTGAATTGTTCGATTTGCTTTTCTCATCTACTTGATAGAGTATCAATACTTCTAAAAATTCTAGAAATTTCATGCAAATCGTAATGATTCATTTCTAAAAATAGTAAATTTATTGCTAATAGAACTCTTAAAGATATTTGTGATAATCATATAACTGACCAGCTCGCCTGAATACTTTGGCTGGTACAAACAGACTGAGTATTGTGTAATATTAGTATTGCAGAATCATTGATACACTATCAAACAGATAAGAAAAGCATATCGAATAATTCAGCTCTTTTGAATAATCAAGGACTCACTAACGACTTATACAATTGTGTCGTTGGTGAGTAGTTTGAACATATTTGAAATTCTATGTTTCATTAACTAAGGTCATCTTAAGTATTGTTCGATATACCTTTTCACAAAGAATCGAAATATGATCTCGGATTTTATTTTTGACCTTGTTTAAGTGGCGTAAAGTGCCAAAAACCATCCATTAGAATCAAGCAAAAAAAAAGGCTTTTTATCAGGTAGTTCAATTTTTCTGCTTAAAGTATTTTGAGTCTATCTCCCTCGAAACAAAAGATTTTTTACAAATCTTTTTTTATCGAAATACTTAGGATGAAAAGTTCGACAACTACTGAAAATTTCATTAAATTCAGTGACCATTTTTTTTTATCCATGCCTGGGATCTCAAGAGATGTCCTCTACGAAAAATGAACTTTTTTATCCTACCTTATTTCAAAAATTCTTAAGAAGTGGGATGAATTATATACATTGGCTAATAGGCTAAGACTAGTACTTCACCACACGACTATCTAATATACTCATGAATTCTGCTTATGCGAGAAATCTCGATCATAATATGTGATTTTTCATTATGAGGGGCTATGGAGTGAACGATTGTACAATTTTATCTACCAATATAAGCACTTTGAACATATAGTTCTTATGCTGTTAGACAGATACTAGATATATATATATTCAATGTCATCATAATCAGTGGCTAATGATCGTACTGTGGTGTTGAATACTATACCCGAAAATAGGCTATTTTTGTACTTTTTGCATTTTTTGCATAATGTCACGTTAGCTTAATCCATATATGAGTGTTATGAATGAGCTGATGTAGTGATGTGCATAATTTACTAACTTAGTACTATACATGCTTATAAAAATTTCCAGTCATTCGGTTTATTTAGAGAAAAAAAGTCGATACTTCAAAATGATGAAAAATCATGATAATAGTCATTATAGGCAAAAGGTGGTATTTTGCGGTTTCAAAAAACCATGATGCCGACTGAAAGACAGTGGAAATTTTTTGTGGATAGTCTTAGGGTATTGAGAACTTCAATTGCTGAAAGTTTCAGCTTGGCCGGAGAAGATCACCGTAATCATGGGAGATTTCTAGTAGAACTGCCCATATTCTAGTAGTATTCCAAGCATAGCTCTGCATATGAATTCTTATTCTAATATCAAATTAGATTTTTTTTTGTACTTTTAATTTCTCTTTTTTTAAATGTTTCTCGTGTGATACAACATGAAAAAGATGCTGATACAGTACTTTTTTGTCAAGGAAGTAAGATAAAATATTTCAAAAATAAATTTAAATATAATCATTTTATATATTAATTTAGACCATGTCAATATTGTGAATTCTCAAGGTAAACATCATACAAATAGACAAATATTATCTGAACTTTATTTTGATTATGAAATTCAATCATTAGATAAAATAAGCGAATCATTTTTATTTGTCTCTTCTATTATTTTAATCATTTTTCATCGTTTAAGTTTGTTCATGAAATAGTGTACTTGCATTTCATGAGCATGGTATATAAAGTAGAAATTTAAAAGATGATGAAGTTATACAAGAAATTTATGATCAAACTCGATCATTTCGAGTTATTGGTAGTGATCGGTAAATATCATAGAAAAAAAAAGAAGTCAATGCTTTATCATAAATTCTCTTCTTTCTTTAAAGATTGGTCGTCTTATAAAATCGTTCATTTGATCAATTAAATCATCTAGTGCATTAAATACAATACCATCTGACTTATATATTTTAATGGATCATGAAAATACATAATATTACATTGGAATCATGCATATATAACTAGCCGGTATTATTAAAACAAATATTTCATCTGTTTTCTTTTTTCAAGTCAACTTCGTTTTATGTATACACATATATATATATATATATATGTAACAGTGTTTTGGGAAAAAGAAAAATATTCTTTGCTTCAATGATATATTAATGAGTGTTTTCAATGTCAGATTTTCGCTTCTTTATTCTTCTTTTATATATTTAGGGACATCATGTAATATGTGAGCTTAATCAGTGCCCGTTATTTCTTTTATACATGTGTGTGGAAATTTATAATTGCGTAAAAGTATCATTATCTGACCTTGCGGTGTTCTTTCTCGTTTTTCTTGATATAAATGAAATGTTATTTATAGAAAAAAAAGAATTCTTTTTCGTGAACGAAAAAAAAAGAATGATTAATGTTAGAATAGTTGATTGAAAAATATTTAAGTTGTAAGACAATATATTACTTGAATAAAATTTTTTATCAGATTATTTTTATTAATTATCCATAGATAATATATAAATTAATCATACTCAAATAATATTATGCATTGGTTTTTTGTTCTGTCTCCTCTCCACAGTGAGCAGTGTTCGTTCGGCAGACGAACATATAACTTTCTTGCTCGGAAATGATTGGATATGATTCAGAAAAGCATTTTCAAGAAAGAAAAATATTTGGGAAAGTTTGAAGGTTGGATGTGGATGAATAGGTCACTTTATTATTGAGCTAGCTGTTCAGACGACTCGACAGAAAAAAAAACACTAGTCTTTTTCTCAGAAGTCAAACGTGCAACTTGAAAAATATTTTTTACCATTTATATATAAAGATCGACTTTGAAATTCAGATACTGTACTCGAGTTGTCTATCTGATAGGGTAATTTTGTCAGATATAAATTTTCCTGGTAACATCACAATTTTCAGGCTAAGTATTGGACAACTAGTTTTTGAATTTCTTTGTGCGTTGTAACAAAGTTATTTATACCATTGGATAGACTAGTTTTAAATCTTGAAAAGAATGATTCTCACTTTTAGCCAAATGTTCGACTAAATGTACACTGTACCTTTCAAAAGATCTAATTTCGACAGGGTACATGAAATATTGATGAAATTTTGCAAAGATGTTTGATTCATAGAAATATATGAATAAAAAATTCATGCTTTCATATCTTATCGTTTAGAAAATTTTTAGAGACCAAGCTGCTAAGCAGGATTTATCGACGTACAAATTTTTCATCAATATATTTCAAGTTGTAGAGTTTGGGTTGCTTTGATTTGAAAGAAAACTCCTTACTTATTCGCATAATGAAAAGGGTTCTTTTAATTTTTATCCTACTTCTTTTTCTTCAACTATCGAAACTTCAAAAATCTGAACTTTGTGAACATGATTTTTTGGAAAACTCAGAGTTTATCCAGCATTGATGATTGATTAGAAAACTTCTTTCTCTCAGCTGAAGGACTATGCAAATATCTATCGATTAAAATAAATTACATTCATATTTGATAATAATCTATAACAAACAATAGTTAACTATTAACGATGATCTATTCGGTCGTTAATCAGCACTGCCAATTAACATGTCTAATTTCAAAGAGTAAAATATCAAGAAATATTCTTAGCATTGAAACCTGTTCAGTATTGTTCATATGTACAACTTCGATCATACTCAATATATTAATCAAATGATACTGTCAATTTAACTAAACTACTAATTGATTTGTTGGTCATATAAATACACTGAGTAATATCCATCCTTTTCAAATTCTATTCAATGAAACAGATTATTTAATTTATATTTCGTAGATCAAATATTATGATTATCCAATGAATTTATTTAAGCACAAAACAGTTTATAAAAATTGGAAATTCGTACAAAAAAACAACAGTCATTTTTTACATGAACAAATTAAGAAAGGAAGATAACAATTAATTTTTCTTAATGAAGGATAAATTATTAACAATAATAGAATTATTTATATGATTGTTACTATCAATGAAATCAATCTAGACAGAATCATTGAAAGTAGTATCATTTGTACAATCATTATTAATTATTAATTTAAGACCAATATGTATATCAATAACAGCATCATTCATACGATTTGTACTCACAATAAAATCAATATGAAGAAAATTATTGAAAGTAGTATCATTTGGACAATCATTATTAATAATAAATGTAGTATCGACATTTTGATCAATAACAGCATCATTCATACGATTTGTACTCTCAATAAAATCAATATGAAGAAAATCATTGAGATTAATATTATTTGCACTATCATTATTAATTATAAATTTATGACCAATACTTGTATTAATAATAACATCATTCATACGATTTGTACTCTCAATAAAATCAATATGAAGAGAATCATTGAGATTAATATTATTTGCACCATCATTGAGATTAATATTATTTGCACCATCATTGAGATTAATATTATTTGCACCATCATTATTAATTATAAATTTATGACCAATACTTGTATCAATAATAAAATCATTTATATGATTTGTACTCTCAATTAAATCCATATGAAGAGATTCATTGAAAGTAGTATGACTTATATCATCATTATTAATTATGAATATTTGATCAATACTTGGATCAATGATAAGATCATTCATATGATATCTACTCTCAATAAAACAAATATGAAAAGTATCATTGGAGGTAATATCATTTGTACAATCATTATTACTGGTAAACTTAACATCAACATTTTTATCAATAGCACCATTATTCATATGATTTTCACTACCAAAGAAATCCATATGAAGAGAATCGTGGAAAGTATTATTATTATTTATATAATCATTATTAATTATTAATTTAGTATCAATATTATTATCAATAACAGCATCATTCGTATCATTTTGAATCTCAATAAAATCAGTATGAAGAGAATCATTGAAAGTAGTATTATTGGTACAATCATTATTACTGATAAATTGAATATCAACATTTTGATCAATAACACCATCATTCATATGATTTTTGCTATCAAAAAAATCAACATGAAAAGAATCGTTGAAGGTATTATTATTTGTATAATCATTATTAAGTTCAAGTTCAAGTTCACCAGTAAGATCATAAGTAGAAATAACACCATTGAAATCAATTGTCTGTTGTAGAAAATCATTAAGAAGATTATCGTCGATAACATCAGGACCAAGAAGAAAGTCGTCAACAAGAATATCGTTTAGAATAACATTGTAATGATTATTATCAGCAGGATGAAAATCATTAAATAAAACGTCGTTGACAACTATATTATCATCATCATCAGGCTCGTTGTAGAAAAGAATATCTGATTGACCATCATCTATATTTTCAACAACACCCGGAATATTCTAAAGCAAAGGTTGATATTAGAGCATTAAAAACAGTATATTGTTCAGCTTTAAATGCTTTTGTCAGTTTACAATGGTTGATTTTTTTCAGGGCATCTGCTGCCAATATCCTAATCCTTTTTTAACCATTTTGTACAGTATCGAAGGTTGCATGAAATATCAAAAATTGATCCTGGGATATCTTGACTTGAAAAATGCTAGTCGATAGAAAAAAAAACCAAAATGATACTGCTATTATGAGTTTTTCTAAGGTACGTGTAATTTAGTAATTGAGTAAAATGTTTTTTGATATTTTCACATGGCTCGATAGAGCTCATCGAGCTCTACACAATTGTTTAGATTAAAAGTTTTTAAACCCTTTTTTGGGATAAAATTTATAAAAAAAAAAACATTTTTTTCAATTATTGAATTACTCCCATCTTAGAAAAACTCATAATAGTAATATTATTTTGTATTTTTTTTTCATGTCATTTCTTTCTTAGCATTGAAGTTTGTTTGTTTTTATTTTATTTTATATTCAAGAGTTTTTCGTATTAAATAGATATCTATAGATAGATAGTGCTCGGCCTCTACTATGGAAACATATAACGAAATAAAATTAATGTTATAAAGTTTTAATACACGACTAAAAACAAATAAGTGATACGAGACTTTTCAGGTGCACTATATATAAAGAATTACCTACATTGATGCTAGGATATTTAAAATGTCCTGATAGATTAGGCATCTAAAAATAAAAAATTTTATCAGGACAATATTATATATGTTCGTATTCAAAGATGTGAAATAAAACTGAAACATATAGAATAAATGTAATTGTACACAAAGAACAAACAAATTAGAGATTGTTCACATATATCTTTGCCAGTTTTTCTGAATTTTGGAACGACCATCTTTTATCTCCTTAACTATATGTTTTTATTCTCAATTCTCTTCGTCTTTTAACGCATAGTAAAGATAACTTTTGTGTAATTATTCTGGTATGCAATTCTTGGCGACTGCAGTCGCCTTTGAGTTTATATTGAGATATAGAAATTATTACAAATTGTGATTTAAGAAAACTGATTTTTGTCTTGACGCATCATCTATGAATAGATCATCTATATCAGTCGTTTAATATAAAAGAAAACATTATATTTTTATTAATAGATTCTTTCGAAAAAGATTTTGAAAGCTGGACGTCCAGGGAGAAAGGATTCAGTCAAAACCCATTATTTTCGGATAGGAGGAGGAAGCTAAAAAAATGTGATGTCTGTGTATATTTGCTTTATGGATGACTCTAAATGGATTAGTTTTGTTTTCTAGGGTATTATTTTCGAACAAAATATAAACTTATGTATCTTCATCCAGCGTTCAAAAGTTTTATTTCCATGTAAGATAGTTTTGGAGCTATGATATGATGATGCTACACATTTTTTCTGATTTAGAAACAATACTACCGTAAGACCACTTGCTCAAGGAATCCATGAAAAATTATATAAGTTAATCATTAACCAAAACTTTGAATTTATTTTTGCTTTATATTATTATTTCATCACAAACAAATGATACATAGCATGCAGAAAGTTGACTCTGGAATTTAATTGCGATAAATTATCTATATCTAAATGGATGGTTTCAGTTTATTGTAGAACTTTAAAAATATTCATTTGTTATCATTAGCAATCAACTCCTAGAGAACAACAATAATTATCATAAAAGTGCAAAACTAGCGTAGAATGTATTAGTTTGTCAAGAAAAACTGTTTCCATACTGCTGCTTCAATATTTCTTTTGCGTGCAGATGAACTGTGTTCCACCTCAAGCGAAATAAACAAGAAATAAATCGATTATATTTTGAAAATATTTATTGAAAATATTGAGGGTATCAGACAAAACTTTGACACAAAAGATTCTTCTTAATAGTGGATCGTCGTGAAATTTCGATTGTTGAAATAAGTAAAAGACGAGTCTTTTTAGCAATACTAGGCAAGCAGATTATTTCTCTACGTGTGTAAAACATGTCTTGACATCATATATGCTACAAATCTGTGCTAAACGGCCAAAAATATTGATCGTCATGCACATTCAGTCTCGTATATTTTATATTTAAGACAGATGCACGGATCACAGGATCTGTCAGAATTCCAGCAAATGAGTCGTTCAAAAAAAGACATCCTTCGCTTAGTTTGTCAGGATGCTACGATGTGCAGTCGGCGACAAAAGTTTAAGAGAATTTGTTTTTTCGATTTTTCTTTCACACGAAGAACTACTGATCTGATTCAAGTGGTGATATAGATAGTACGAGAGGCCGACTACATGATTCAGTATAGGAGGAAACTCCATTTATTTATATAGATTTCTCATGATTAAAATAATTTTTCCCAGCCGAAAATAGGTTTTAGCACCATGCAGTATTTTGCATTTACTAACCAAGAGATTTGAAATATAATGAAAACAAATAGCCCCATTGATAAAGAATCTCACACTCTATCTCTTTCAAAAAAAAATTCCATTCCTAGAGTTGGTCTTCATCTCAAAAACCTGATTTTAGTCAGAATAGTCGGAAAAAGCGAGTTGTTTTCCGTCAAAAAAATTAAAAAAAGATAGTCGAGTTTCCCAAAACTTTTTTTCAAAACGATAGAAATAAAAAACTGTTGATATTGGAACATAAAATACACCATTTTATTCACTTTAAATGTTCTTTCCAATGGCGTGTAATAAATTGTAATCAAAGAGAATTTGTAAGAACTAATTTCATTTTTTCCTTTTTTTCGGCTATTCTGACTAAAATCAGGTTTTTGAGATGAAGACCAACTCTGGCAATAGAAATTATTTTAGAAACAGATAGAGCGTGAGATTTGCTATCGACTGGGCTATTCATTTTTTTTTTATTGTAGTTGAAATCTCTTGGTTAGGAAATACGAAATATTGGAAAGCGTTTAAACTTATTTTCCCTGAGAAAAATTATTTTAATTATGAAAAATTTATATAGACAAAAGGAGTTCTCTCCTATGCTGCATCATATAGTCAGCCTCTCGTATTATCTATACCACCGCTCGAATCAGGTCAGTACTTCTTGATGTAAAATAAAAATTGAAAAACAAATGTGTCAACAAAAACTGAAAGAAAGAATTTCGCTTAAACTATTGTCACTGACTGTATACAGATGAGAAGTCTACTAAGCTTCTATTATTCAATAGTGTAAGTTATAGTCAATGCTCAATATGAAAAAAAAATAAAGACACTACTAAGTCCCAATGAATGAACGAGTAACTTGGAGTCATTCGATTGTTTTACTAATTTTTGAACATAAGCAAAACCAAAATCAACATGAAATTTGAATTTCTATGTTAGAACGATATATGAGCTTCGGTTTAACCGATCTGAATCCGAAGAATTTTTGAAGTTTATTCAGCCACATTGCTCTATCATTAATGTTACAGATCTAAATTATCAAGAATATTGTATATTGATGACTTAGATTATGTAATTTCAATGCTTCTTCAGTCTGATTTAATTTGGTAAAAATAACTACTAATCTGTAAAAACAAGCACAAGTCACAAGAGAAAAATGTCGAAACTATATTATTTTTGTCATCATAATTGATAGAACTCACTCAAGAGATTGCTTTATTGCTGAGCTATACAACGATGAATTACTTTCTTACTCTGCTTTTGCTTTTAATCTTTCAAATACTTTTTCTTCTAAGAAATGATAACGTTAATTGTGAATAATCTCATATAAAGACAAAGACATACACACAAAGAGTGAAATTTTGGCTAATATCAATAACAGACAATTTTTCACAAAGAACAAAAAATTGGACGTCTTTTATGAAAACTAATTTTATAGAAAATAGTATGATTTTATGTCTACCTTGTATATGAAGCTGAAGCTAGTGACATCTGCATCAATACTATATATACAAATCAAAAGGAAACATTGTTAGTTCTATATATTAATCCATTTCATATAACACCCAAAACTATACCAAATCGAGAAAATTGTTTTGCAAACAAGAATATCAAAAGTATTTCATATTGAAAAATGTGAAATCTCTGGAATTATCAGAGATATAAAAGGTTAATTGCATGGAGAAATTTTTTCTTTTAGTTCTTTAGTCAGCGATGTAGCCAGGATTTTTCGAGAGAGGAGATCAAACTGTTTGTGCCCGGTAGTGTTTCGAGCGGCGAAAGGAGGCGAAAACAGAGTGACTTCTAGAGCCCGTCGGATCCAAGAATTTTGGACCCAGTCTATCAAATATGTTTGAACCCATACTATTTTTAGCACTTAAGCTTTGAAACTACTCTGATAAAATTATTAAAGTTAAAGTAGATTTTTCAGAAAAATTTTTTCTTTTGCAAAAAAGTATTCTCTTCATTAGAAAAATTATTTTTTTAATAAAGAAATCATTCTTTCACAAAAAATATCATTTCTGTTCTCATAAATTTCGTTTTTTATGAAAAAAAAAAGTTCTATACAAAAAATCTTTTTGTAAAAAATCTACTTTAACTTTAACTTTTTGAACGTTAAATTTTAATTATACTTTCTTTAACTTTAAAGTAAAATTAAAATTGGCATCCCTAACCAACACCTGATTTATTAATCAATTATAGATCTAGACCAAAACGTACTTTTAAACTCTTAATCAAATTGGTTAATCGAATCTGATAGTCACTTCGAAGATAGAACATACTTCTTTACTTTTATTCTTTACTTTTACGTTAGATAAGCAGCACACATTACATGTTCCTTAAACGATTCAACAATCATTTTATAACAATTAAGTTATAAATTGGCTCTTACTTCTAGTGCGTAGCTTTGAGTGAAATAGTGAATACATGCATTAAAGTGTTTATATTATTTCTTTTAGATAACTATGCCACTATCAAAAACATTTGTTTTACTTCTCACTGAATTATATGTATAAAAGTTTTCTTGCGATCCGCACCCAATGAATAAAAACTTTTATATCTGGGCTTGTATCCGATCAAAACAAAACTTTTAGATTCGAACCCGACGGGCTCTATTGACTTCCCCTCAATATGAAGAAATTCTCGTTTTTTTCTAAGCAAATTTCCAGCGTTTTATCCTTCTTTTAGCTCACTGATTCTCAAAATATCTCTCGACCACTTCGCGAATCCAGTTTATTCTAGCAAAAATCTTAAAACAGATCTCCTAAATCGTCGATCCAACGCCCCACTCTTCTCCTATGTTTGGCAACTTCGGGAAACCTTTAATTATGATATATCTCCTTTCTACTCGTTTCTGATGAAAGGTTTCAAAAAAAAAAAAAATTTAATTAATACTATTATATGTAGATCATGAAATAGAAAAACATAATTGTGACATTAGGCATCGGACATATATTTGACATTAATTATATCGAACGAAGAGTCGATACAAACATACAGCTTACATGAATTGATTAACATTAATGTTATATTGAACGCTCAATTATTGAAAAAAATTGTTTCAGGTTCAAAGAACAACGTCTTTGCATAATGTTACTATAAATTTTTTTCAGGCGGGGGAGGGGGATCGATCCCCCAATCCCTCCCTTAAATACGTCACTGTCTTTAGTAATTGAATTCAACTGTCACGTTTAACATGTACCACAGATTCGGGTATATTGAAAGGATGTATAGATTTGGATATATAGATTTAGATGTGCAGAATAAAAACTGTCATAGCCAATGTATGATTTTATTTTGAAATTTAGCCGTAACTTGGATTTCTCTCAGTAAAGACGTATTTTCTTTATGCTTCCCGAAGAAATCGTAAAGCGGGCTATATGATAATGGTATTTTAATAGCATGATATTCGTATCAAAACTTGAGTTATGAAATGAAACTGTATATGATATTATGACTGAAGCATCTTTGATAATGATTATATTCATGATATTATTATTTTCTTTATGATCATATGATTTCGTGATGATACTACTATTGTTATGTGTATATCTGTGAAAATAATACGATTGATTATAGTCGAACAAAAGATCTGAAGTTCTTGTTTTCACATAGAATGAAACAAATAAACAAAATACATATACAAAACTGCATTTTATCTTTTTCTTTCTGTATTAATACATGAGTTCGTTTTCCATCTTCGACTTCAACTATACCCATTGTGTTGCAGTCGTTAATACGAAATAATGTGAGAATTCAACGATTAATCTTTTTTATCTATGTACCAATCACATATCAATTGTTCGAAGTTTTGTATTTCTCTGAAGTTTTTATAATAAGATAGAAAAAATTTTACTTGGCCTAGAATTTGAATAATCTTTGATGTTTAGTTATTATAGTGAATAGTATGATAATTGAATATGATTATTTGCAATTTTAAAATAGACGAAACTCATCGCAATAGAAAATCTAGATAAGCTTGTAGCATCTTTTTTTGTTTTTTTTTAATTTTGTTTGAATAAATTAAGTCAAATTAATTAGACATTTGAGAAATAACATTGACTATTATAACAGTTCGATATGATAATATTTTTCCTTGATTATTTACAAAACAAAAAGTTTCTTAAATGACACTATGTCCGAAAAACTGATTGAATACCTACGTTTTATTAATAATTGATTGCATTTACCGATTTCAATCTGTTTGAAAATAACAGTTCAAAGTCACACGTAGAAATTATTTTGGCGTTAAATAAGTTTCGAAAACTTAAAATTATTCAGACAAATATAGCAGATGTATGTATTAGATAGTTATTATTAATTATAACAAATCAAAAATCTAAAAAAACTTAATTTAACTATATTGTCGAACTGTTTTAAGAGCATTTATCTAATACTAATCAAGTTTTTCTCGTTTGAGTAAGTTGCTTGAAAATATGAATATTCATTCAGTTGAAAAACTTGCACTGAAAAATTTGGGTGTAGGTTTTAATATAGATATGGTTCTTTTCTTCTTCCTCCTCTTGAATGATACCAACACTTCATATTCTCATCCAAACCTCATACCCACATCCTTTTTAACCGCAAGCTAATTATATGTGTGGTTTGCTAATATTGACCATTTCAATTCTTATCAATATTTTTCGAATTTCACTCTGATATTCTTTGATTGAAATTCAAGTACTCGATAACTTGTCATACAATGTAAACGTCTTCGATACTCTAACTATGACTTCAAGAGTCAACATCTTAGACTTTTTTTTTTTTAAAAGTTATTTTTTAGTTTGAAACAGAAAATATTCAACTTTTTCTTTGTCAAATTAATTCCAAAAAGAGTACTATTACATAAAGAAAAAAGAAGAATAGAAAATAAATTAATAAAACTAGTTTGTTTTTAACAGTACTTAATATAAATTATTATCATCAACGACTTTTTACATTGTAGTTAATTTGACTGTTGTAAAAGACATTGGTTGAGAAAGAAAAAAACGATCAAACATCAACAATTAGAATTCAATAACTATAGCAATATTTGTTCTTTCATTTTTCATTATCATCTTAGAAAGAAATTTAACTAATATGGCATTGATAAAAAAAAGAGATATCAGCCATTTCATGTAAGTTACACCTCTCACAGTAGCGAAGTGCTAAAGGACAATTTTGGAATCGCGTGAAATTGATTTCATCTCGTAGAATATCTTGTTTTAGGTAGAGAACCGAATGTTTACCTTCTATAAGACATCTCTCTGCCGAACTATTATGATTTTTTGAATAATTTTTCAACGAGACTTTTCTGGGATGGAACTGGTACTGGATGTTGGTCTCAGTTCTTTACTTTTCCATTTTTATTAGAAAAACTTATGTAGTGAATTTGTTTTGGGATGTTGATCAGGGCGACACAACAGTTGAGTTCCCGCTAGTTGAGCGCCGACAGTTGAGCTTCTCGCCAGTTGAGCTCCCAACAATTGAGCTCCCGACACTTGAGCCTTCATTGATCAATTACGAAAGAAATTAAATCAATATTCAATAACTTTATTCAATATAAATCTAGTAGATAAAAGCATGCAACATTTCCCTATAAGATCTATCACTTGCTATGTACTTCTTCACAGTCAAATCAGTCATTGGTACGAAAATGAGTAAGTGTTTCAAATTATTTTTCTTTTTGTTATCTAGTTTCCATTATTGTTCTATTTTTGTGATTTTTATTATACTATGCCAATTGTAATATACTTAAAAACCAAGTACCCACTTCTACTTGATTACTTTGGTTATTTACAGGAAATGTGGGTATGATTGCGGTGAGATGTGAATGCTCTGTTCACATACAGCAACGGACACACCCTCATCGCGTTGGTTTTTGATAAGATGACTCGCTCAGCTATGGGGAAATATACTGGCCAGTCATTAATACTATAGGAGCATGGCACCAGTTTGTATGTACCACAGAGGGATACAGGACAGGGAAAAACTATAATATATGTCCTGTCCTACCGCTCATCAGGACAGGATTAGATAGTAAACAGGAAAGAAAACTTAGTACTGCGCTCATCTCTGCTGTGTACTACTTCTGAGTTTAACAAAGATATTGAATATTGATTTAATTTCGTTCGTAATTGATCAATGGAGGCTCAAGTATCGGGAGCTCAATTTTCAGAAGCTCAACTGTCGAGAGAGGCTCAACTGTCGAGGGATCATTCGTCTGAACTCAACTGTCGGTGTACCGTATATTCCATATTATCGATTCTATAAAGAATCAAAATTAATCTTGTGAATTTAAATTAAAAAATTAAATTAAAAAATAACCGAATCGTGTCAATATTTTGTTCGCATTTATTAATTATTTGTTTCCATTTTTATTATAAAACATTATCACAAGAAAAAATTTTTATTCATCCGTCAAAATACAAATTACACAAAATTACAAAAAAGAAACCAATTTCATTTTATAAGTTTTATAATTAAGCAGTTTGTTGCTCATCAACTGGCATATATCCTGGTACTAGTAAATAAATTTTAAAAAAAGTAATGATTAAAGACTACATAAATGTATCTTACCAGGACTTGTATTAGAACCCCAATCTCCGAACGTCGGTGATGCGGTATCACCAAGACGATCTTGTCTGACTTTATTTAATAATAAAAGCATAATCGGTTTAAGTATTAAAAGAAATATAGCAAAACTAAGGAAAAATAAAATTATAATCTTTTACTTTTTTGAAAATAAAATAACTTACAAAGCACTAATAAAAAAAAAATAAGAACTATGACCGACAACCAGATAAGCTATAAAAAAAGATTTCATATATTAAAATACAAAATCAAAGAACAAATTTACCTCGTCTTCCAATTTGAAAATGCGTTCCGATAGCAATTGCATCAAGAATAATCGAAAAACATTTAATTACCATTAACTAAATAAAAGAATATTAAGATAAAAAAATAACTATACAAAATATACAAGTTCAACTAGAATAGCACCATCACGATGTACTATTGTCCCAAAGTCGAGCACTATAACAGTTATTTGACTCAGACTGTACGACATTGGTAGCCAGTCGGATATCAAAGCCCTAGTAAAAAGAACAAAGAAAATCAATATATTTGACTTTTTCCGTTTAATTTAATTCGAAAAGAATCAATGAGAATTGAAATTTACTGCATTAAATCTTCTCAAGAATTATTGAGAAAATGAGCTCAGTATAAAGTACATCGTATCTATTCAAAATGATTTCTGTTTGAAGTTGAATTTATAATAGATGATCGAGAAATTAGAGATGTTAAAAGATTCAATTCACTAAATCCAAAGTCAAGAAAAAACAAAAAAATCTGAAGACGTTTTTTAGTGCATTATCTTTTTATTTCTATTAAATCTTACATGCTTGTATAAAGAAAATGTATTGCAACAATATATTACAAAGAAATAGTTAATTGAAAATAATTGAAAGAAAAATAAATGTTTGAAATTCTTACTCTGAAAATAACATCTCGGTTAAGTACCATGTTTGTTCTTTATTTTAAATCTAAAATAAATGGGAATAATAATATATTGATCTATCACCTAAATTTATTTCTTATAACACTAGTAATAGTAATATTAGAACATAACAACAAAACTTTTCGAAGAATGACAATTAAATCTATTGTTGTGAATCAACATCATAAGCTAAAATTGATGATAACCATTTTTCAATTTCTTTTATTGACATTCCTTTTCGATTGGCATAATCACGTACCTAAAACAAACAATCGATATTTGTTTTGTTTTTATACATAAAAATATTTAAGAAAATAAAGATTTTAACTGAATGAGAAGAGATACATTTAAATTGATACTTAGAATAATATACATTTAAAACAACAAGATGAATTTTCTTTGTTTATGAAAACAATACAAATTTCTTCATTCATCATTTCTTCTTTTATTCTTATTAAATCAATCTATCAAAAATGCAATATTTTATTCTAAAAAGTAATATCGAGATAATCATGTTTCTTTATTTTCAAATATGAATAAATCTATTTACACAATTACATATAAAAAGTAAATAATGGAAGTTGTGGTTGAGTGTTAATTTCTTTTTCTTACATTGACTCTATCAAATACAGAGAGGTTCTTTCTTGATAAACAATGATCTTTTTACCTTCTTCTTAAACTTTTATTTGCTGCGTGGTGCTCAATACTTCCATCGTACTGGCGTCACATGTACTGTCTGGCATAGTATTAGGAAGAAGTAAAAGATGATTAATAGTCATTTCTACGTTTCCTGATCGCCTAGTTCTAGAACATTTCATAAACTTTACTACTTAAATGGCTGATTTCTTCATCAATTTCATTCATTTTCAATTCGATGCTTTGTCATTACGCAACATTTGCTTTTCTGTTTTTATTATTATTCATTTTGTATTTATTTTTCTCTGTTTCAGATATAATCAAACAAGAATAAAAAAAAATATATATATATTATTTAGAGCATATTGTAACTATGTCATTTGCTCGTAGGTCTGTTACTCCATCCATTGATGAAATTACCGAAAAGCTTCAGGACACACAATTAGATTCATATCTATTTTTGTCCGATGATCCTTTTCTTGATTTAAAATCATCTGAAGAAACTTATCAATATATAATATTTTTACCACCAACAAACAGTTCTGGTGATATTTATCATATTATTAGTTATTTAATGTTAGCCAAGTATAAAAAGAAACAATTACCATTGATTCAATTGTCTTATGATGGAAAGAAAGTGTTCGAGGAACTTGAAAGTCAAATGAATACATTTTCACAAACACAACGTTGTATTGAATTTGCTAAGCATCTCGGTTTTGAAAACTTATTTCTCTCTCCAATCGATCTTTGTTAAGATAACAAGTATTTACCAAATGCTCGTTAAAAAAAAATGCTTGATTATTTGGAAAAATATCATGGTGAAAACAAAAATATTTACTATTGCGAACAAAAATTGTTAACTACATTAATATTTCATTATTTCCTTACATATGGTTGAGTTAAAACTACGAAAATTTTAAAGAAATCATATGAAAAATGGTCTGTTAATGAAAAGGTTAATAAGAAAATTAAACAACAAGTTCAATAAGAAATTGAAACTATTTCAACAAAGGCTGATTCAAAACCTTTAATTATTATACAATATCGTTATTCATCGAAAGCTAATGATAATCAAAATATAGATGAAATTGAAATTCTTAACAGATTGATAAAGTATTTACATAAAAAAAAAATATGCTACATGGTATTTATTCGTTGATTCGAGGACTAAAAAACCACAAGGAATTAGAAACATTGTCAATAAAACACATTATTTTCCATGTGAAATTAAAGATCTTGATTGTAGTAAATTATTTCATCTTGAATTCCTTCTATAGATATTAAAATTAGAAAATGTCAAAGATATTATCGGCAATACAAGTAGTTGTCTTGATCTAGCTGCATTTGTGGGTCATTGTGTTCTCAATCTTCATCAATTTCAAGATAAAATGAATTATCAATCGTACAGAATATTTCTTCAATCTTCATTTCTTACCGTCGAAGATTTTAACAACAATGTTATTACAAATGTTCTCAAGGACAAAAACCAACATTGGATTAATTTTACCTATGAAATGATAAATGAAAACATGCCAATAGCAGCTGATTGGATCAACAACAAAAAAAACACACCAACATTTCCGTACCAAAAACTTGCAAGTATTGATGCTGTTGAGATAAACAATGCTGGCTTTGTTGACTTACATCAAATTATAACATAGGAAGATGGATATTCATATGAAACATCTATTCCAATTTTCAAACAAGTGTTTAAAAAATTGTATGATTCAATTAAAAAATCAACACCATAAAAAACCTTATTCAGATGTTCTCTATTATATGAAATAGATATTTTTTCAAAATTGTAATCACTTACTAAAAGTAAAAGATTTATCATCTAATAAATATCTGATCAAGAAAATCTGGTTAAAAAAGGTCTTATTGTTTAAAACCGATTTTCGATTTAATCTTCGTCCTAATCTTGAACATAACAGACAAGGTTATCTTCTGAAGTGTCTGCGCTCAGAGAAAGCGACAATTAGTTGCATATTTAAAAGAAGAATAATTTCGAAATCACCTTTCACAAACTTTAATTTCCAAGCATGTCATTCAATTACACATAGCAGCACATGAGGATGAGAGTGAAATGTGAAAAATGAAGATTTTTTCCGTAGTCCTCGGCAATTAGTTCAAATATAAATACAAGATCTTTCTTTAATAAGCCAAAAGTATCATAAAAGACGAAAATCATTAAAAAATTGGTTTTTTAAGTTCTTAAGGAAAGGTCGTAGAAAATGTGGTAACTCTTCATTTCGTTCAAAATTTTATGCTCTATAAGAAAGATATTATTAAAAACTAACTCTGAGAAAGTTTTCTGAAACATGACAACTATCGCTTCCATTTTTTTTTAGAAACATTGCCATCATAGTTGATCTATGAAATGTTGGCATAAAATGCATTAGATAAGAATGAAAAATTATATGGATTATGGGAATTTTTTAAAGTAATTACAACTTACTTTCCTGTAAGGCTGAATTTTCAATTAGAATAATTTACTAAACATTCTTATTTATACTCATATGTAATGTTTCTTGTCCTTGAGTAGATTGTTAGATTATTTTCTGAATCTCTCTCACAAGAGAACCTTTCTAACTTGAAAATCGTTTTTAAACTCGAACTCCGTGCATAAGATAGACCCCAATGAAGTATTAAAAACCTCAAAAGGATAAGAGTCTCTAGACCTTCCCTACATAGTTACAACAGTTTTTCTGAAATTTTAGTCTTGAGCACTGTATGTTCAAAATAATAGAATGGCAATATTTCAACTTGATATTATACTTATGAATAGGTCCACTTGCAACAAGAATTTCCTCAAAATTTTAGTTCAAAAGAATGTTTTCTTCACGGATTATTGAATTCTCCAAAAATCACTCGCATTTCCGGAAAATTCAAATTGAAAAGATTCCCTCGTTAGTTATATTTCTATAACGCTAGAAAATTATTTTTTAATCTATTTTAATTTTTAACATTGTGATCAATTGTCGTAGAACCCTGCTTTCGATCTTTTTTCCTCTAAACTCAACATACTTGATCTTCATTAATTTTTCCAACAACAAAATAAGTTGATTCTGGATGAGCCACATAAAGTTCGGAAACAGCTGATGATGGTTGCATAGCAACTGATTTCGTTAATTCAATACCAATTGATTCTTTTGCATTTAATAATTTCCATATTGTTAATTTTTCCGTATGATCTGGTTTTGTTGGATAACCAGCAGCTGGACGAATACCTTGATATTTAACTGAAAGTAAATCTTTTAGTGATAAATTTTCCTTAGATACATAAGTCGATAATTCTCGATGGACACGTTGATGTAACTATTCAGCACATGCTTCAGTTAAATGATCACCTAATAATTTTAATATAATCGATGAATAATCATCAGTTTCCTATACAAAAAAACCAAAGATTAAAATTAAACAAATAGTTTTGATTTTTTCATACTTTTTGTACTAATCTTTGTGCTTCTTGTTCAACATTAAAAACAGCTAATGCAAAAAGTCCAATATAATCAATTGTAGTTGATGATATAAAATCTGATAAATACATATAAACATTTGAATCACGTTCAGTTTGTTGCCGTAAACCAAATAATGTTGAGATTTGTTTTGTTGAATCTTGCGGATCAAATATAAGTATATCATCACCTGATGTTCGACATGGATAAAATCCAATAACAGCACGAATTGAAAAAAATTTTCATGCAACAATATCTGATAAAATTTTTTGTGCATCACCAAAAACAATACGAGCTTGTGCACCAACTTCTTTACAATCGAATAATTTTGGATAACCACGATTTGGATATTTTCCACGTATTTGTATGGCATCAAAAAAATGGTTTCCAATCGATATAATCAATTAATTTTTTCAACATCAATATTATTAAATACTTCTGTACCTAAAAATGTTGGTTTAGTTATATTAAAATTTTCATTTTCACTAATCCATCGTTTTTTTCGTGCATCATTTATTGGTATAGTACGTATCTGTTTAAGATTTGCATAATAATCATCACGAATATCGTTATATTCTTCAGCTATTTCTTCTAAATAATCATCTTTTTTATCTTTACCTAAATTTTAACAAAAAAAAAATATCAATGAAATAAAAATTATTTGTTTATTACTAGGAAGATTTCCACAAACAACAACACTTTTTGATGCATCTAATACATGTATAACCGGAGCATTGTGATAACGTGGAGCTATTTTAACTGCAGTATATTGTCTAAAAAGGAGACTCTCGTTAATCCTCATATAAAAAACTTTATTGCTATGAATACTTGGTACATTCCATAGTGCTTAACAGTATGTATTTTTATTCGAACGTAATGTTCAGCGCCATGTCGTCTTGCTGAGTAGAACATTTTATTGAAAATACGTGCCAATAAGCACTGCGAGGTGTAACGAATTTTTATAGGATTTCGGGTTTTTAGGAAAGTTAATGAGAAGAATTTTAGTCTGGGCCAAAATTCATGTGACTCCTTGTGAAACATGGTCTAAAACGAGTGTTGAAGTATAGAGGTAGACTTTTTGGATGCTCCTTCCCAAACGAACGTCACTCTATCACAGTCAATGATAACTAACAGGTGATCCATTGTAGTAATAAATTCTGCACGTCTGAATGAGATCATAGTTTAGT